AGGAAGTTTTTCTGCCTCTAATCTTGACCCAGGCTGAAAAAGCTATACAAAATGCATCTCCATTATAGCACTGAACAGCTTTAAACCTTTTAATCAATCCCTTGGATTGATTAAATCCCTTACCTCTTACCTCTCCCTGTCTCAGATTTTGGGGCCCTTCTCTCCTCTTGGTTCCCATCATCTGGAGGGTGCCTTTCTTCTAACCTAGCTAAGTTTACACATCTCTTAAGGGTGGGGTTAGGGGTAGCTTCTGGGAATCCTTTTCCCAAGTACTCCAATACTCCCTAAGGCTGGGAAGGGTACTGTATTTTGTTTGTACCGCTCACCCCTCACCTAGCCCCAAAGGCAGCGACTACATCTTGTATTTGTTAAGCCTTCAGTGAAGGTTTGTCTAAAGAGTCAAGTCCAAGGTTATGCGGCAGCTGGTAACCAGTGTAGTCAAACATAGTGCTTACAGTCTAAGGGTCCGACCCTGCAGGGCTCTGTCACTCAAATGTAAAGTTCTCAAATATCCTCATTCAGGCAGAGTTTTTTACTGTTTGCAAACGAATTCTGATAGAACTATATTCTTTATGCCCACGGGCAGGAGATGAAGAAATGAAAGGTTTTTAAACCCTGAAACTGGAGAAGAGCGTCTCAAAAGAAAGAAATCAGCACTTAGAGATAAAATTCGGATGTAGTCGGTAACTGTAAGCCTGACACGGCTCAACAAGGAAAGCACATCCCCACCTCCTACCCAATCTGCGATGCTCCGAGCCTTCCCACCTCAAAGACTACAAATCCCAGAATGCCTCAAATTCAGTGAGTGACAGGCCACAGGGCATGCCGGGACACGTAGTCCCGTTCTAGCTCAGGAAAAGCCCAGAACGTCCCGTGACGTCACGAGCATCGGGAAAGTAATCGGAACCGGTCCAAGCTCACGTTAAATCTTCGTCCAGCGAGCCTGGCTCCTTTGGTGACCTGCTTTCTACTCCAAACTGCAGGTCCCACCCCGCAGTTTAGGCTGACCTATGGTGTGCGTTGAGTAACCTCTCACGTTAATCTTGCATAGTTAAAAGGGAAGTACCAGATACAAGAATACTTGGCCTTCCGCCCTTAAGGCGCGGGCTTGTTAAGAGTAGTGGTATTCAGGATGCTATCCTGAGCAGGGTCTGAGGCGCTGCTTCCCCAGCATAGCCTGTAAGGTTGTAGTGCCTCAAACATACGCTCCCCTTCCTCCGTCCGTCGAGGCAGAAGAGACGCAGAGAATTCTGGGAATGCGCATGCGCCCACCGCGGCGGGGAAGTATACCTTCAACGTCCGCAGACGCGGGGGGTGTCGGGTGTCTTCGGCGGCGCTTTGCGGCCAGTCGTGCGGGTCGGGCGCGGGCGGGCGGGCGCGGCGGCAGTGGCGCGCACAGGTGATTGACTGGCCAGCTGCCTGAGGGAGCGCCTGGTCCTCACTGCTGGCAGGTGGCGGAGACCATTTGGGCGGCGGCGGAGGAGGTGGCGGCGGCAGTGGCGGCCCGGCGCGGGAGGCGCTTCTCGGGCCAAGGCCATGGCCCCGCGGTTGCAGCTGGAGAAGGCGGCCTGGCGCTGGGCGGAGACGGTGCGGCCCGAGGAGGTGTCGCAGGAGCACATCGAGACAGCCTACCGCATCTGGCTGGAACCTTGCATCCGTGGCGTGTGCAGGTGAGGCCCGCGCACCGGTCCTCGCGGGCCCCTCGCGCCGGATCTTGGAAAGCCGGGGCAGGGTGGGGGGAAGGAAGACGGCGACCTATTGAGTGCCTTTGGGAGGCACCGAGAAGTGCGAGGTGGAGTTTTCCCCCTTTTCGCCGCCTGGGCGACCTGAGAAACGCAGCCTTCCCGGGCTCTGCGCGGAGGTGATGCTCGTGAAAGCCCATTAGAAAGGTTTTGGGTTCCATTCAGAAGATGGCGGTGGAGATGAAGGCAGGAGCCGAGGTTAGCAAGCGTGTATGGTTGGTATATTTGGCTGCAGTCGGCTTTTTCGTTTGTAAGAAGGAACTTCTTGAAAGTGGGCTTCATCACACTGTATCTTGCATTAGTGTTGACGCGGATGGCCTGATCATCTTAGTAATATTTTTGGAGAGGAGAGCTTTAGAAAGCCTATGGTTATACTACGTCATTCGCACAATGCATTACCAGTTGACCTTTTCTCACTCTTTTATCTAGTATTTTTAGGCTTATTTTGGTCATTCTGACTCGACACCACTTTACTGAGTACGAGCTGCGAAAGTGCTGTCCTTCACTAATGTTAAGCGTCTGGACCTTGCTTTTCCTTAATCTCTCTTTTAGATTGACTCCTTAGGCTTACTGCCTGTTTCTTCCCAGTTTCCACCTTGTAACGCGGGAACCGTAGTTTTTGTTCCGGAATGTTGTTGAATTGACTTGGCTAACCTGGGCATGCTCAGTAGCCTTCTTTCAGAGGGCATTTAGTAAATGCTTTCTGGAGTTTTTATATTCCACTGGGGGATTCAGAAGGAATGGAAGTCACGGATTCTGCCTTTGGATCTTAAAGTTTGGTTTGAAAAGTGAAACAAGTTAGGGAGCTTCCATAAAGCAAACGAATAATTCCAAGCTCTGAGCGTCTGACTCACAAGGAAGGCAAATCTGACTCTGACTGGAATGACAAAAGTCTGTGTGTAATAGAAATTACCAAGCTTCAGACAGTTTTTCAGCGTAATTAGATTCCAGAGTAATCAAAAATGTGAACTGTCACTGTAACAGTCTGATTTTAACAGAATTA